TTCTTCTTCTTCTTCTTCTTCTTCTTCTTGTTCTTCTTCTTCTTCTTCTTCTTCTTCTTCTTCTTCTTCTTCTTCTTCTTCTTCTTCTTCTTCTTCTTCTTCTTCTTCTTCTTCTTCTTCTTCTTATCCTTCTTCTTCTTCTTCTTCTTCTTCTTCTTCTTCTTCTTCTTCTTCTTCTTCTTCTTCTTCTTCTTCTTCTTCTTCTTCTTCTTCTTCTTCTTCTTCTTCTTCTTCTTCTTCTTCTTCTTCTTCTTCTTCTTCTTCTTCTTCTTCTTCTTCTTCTTCTTCTTCTTCTTCTTCCTAATTTGCACTGCATGTGGGTTTTGAGTGAAAACTTACAGTCATTTTATTTTTTTCTCTTATTTTACTAGGATACTTTTTTATCATTCTGTACGTGTTTAAGACTTGGCTCAACAGAAACTGTTAAAGCTATGCAATGAACCACATCAATTTTTTTTTGTCTCACTGTATCACTGATAGGAAGAAAACTATATGATGTATTGTTTTGACATTATCTTATAGAACTACCACGAGATTCCTTACAAGATATTTAATTTGTCCTTGTTAGGAGTAACAATATGGGGTAATTAATTTACATTTGTTTGTTTTAAGGGAAAGTGGGAATCTAAGGTGCAGCTCTGATAAGGCAAAATCTATGGTAGATGTAGACTGGCTAATTAACAAAGATCACAAGTTTAGTGTTTGTAATTGTTAATAAATGCCAGTTGGAGCCTAACATTCAGGATTTGATGGTTAAACATTGCAAATATTCAATGACTAATACATGTTATTAACAAAGATCACAAGTCATTTGTATTGAGTTTCAATAAGTTTTCAGTTTTGCGAGGAATTATGTAGTTCAATTATCATGTGGTGTATCCTGTAAATTTGTGCTTTAAGATACCTGGTTTTCGAAAATAGGAGGAAGCGACTATGATTGAACTACTTGTTGTTTACAGATAAACATGTTTCCTCCTAAATAAGTTTACAGACAGTAATTTTGTTTCATTAGTCTCAATTATATTAGAGTTTAGAACCAAGCCTCTCAACCTGAATTTCATTCACCACTTGAATGTCAAGTAACATATTAAGGAGGGAGTGGCATGTCCTTTTTAGACTTCAAGCAACTTGAACATCACCTGTCTTTGGCACAATCAGAAGGTCCTGACATGCCATTCTTAATAATATAAATATTTATTCCTAAATGATTTTTAGATGCTAGCTAGCTAAGTGCATTATGGTCTGTGCATGCATTTCAAATGTTATTCCATTATTTTTGGGTGTAATATTTTTGGTAAATAATGGTGGACAGGAGTATAAAAATGATCTGTACTACTAGACAATAGGTATGCAATCAACTGCTATATTATTTTCTTTTGTTTTGGTTACAAACTGTGCTGCAGTTTTTCATTCTACCTCTCTAGGTGATTCATTATCTTTTTGCTCTTTATTTTATTTTAATTTATTTTTGATTTGGTGGTTCTTGAGTTGAATGAACTAAGCATATTCTTTTCTGTGATAGGTCCTCTCAAGCATGTACGAAGAAAGAAAGTGCTGAAATTCTCATGTGCAAGTTTCTACCACATTCACGCCAACAGAACTGAAAATAGGACCGGTTTCTTCCTGTAGCATTTGTTGCATAGTTTGTGTTCTTCATCTTCCTCTTTTTTAATTAAAGTAAAAGGTTTGTAGTTAATTATGCTTTAAAAAGATGCTAAAAGAAGACAGATTGTAATATCCCTATTGGATGCGTTAATTAGGTTTTACTTGTCCAAATGTACAATCTATGGTTATAAAACAGGTGGGCTAATATGATACCATGAAACCACTTTGTAGCATTAAGCAGCTTGTGAATTCTTAATTGTTCTATATAGTGGTTACTGTTGTATTTTTTTTTAGTGATATTTCAAAAGGATTAATATGTTTATTTAATTAGAAAATTTTTGTTTAATTAATTTTGTTTTATTAAATAAATATTTTAATTATATTTATTTTGTTGACTTGGTTTTATAGATTAAGTCTTATCTTATATTTTCACTTAGTCTTCAAGAGATAATTACATTTTTATCTTATAACTTCGTAAAAGGTATTTTTGAGAAATAATTTCTCTTCATTATAAATATAATATATAGAAGGTTTTGAGAACATCTCTTCATATATCTTTTTTTGATTATATTACGAGTCTTATTAGTTATTCTCACTTGAAAATTTGTTAATTCTGTTGCCTCAATTATTAATTGGGAAGGACCTGTTATATCCTTGAGGACTTGCGCATCACACGGATAAGTCCTTAAGGACAATGCTATCACATGTCTCGGATTATTCTTAATTTTGTAATTGTATAATTTTCATATGAGAAAGAGGATTCTTGTTTGTGATTGATCATGAAGATGAACAATAATTTACAACAATCTTAAGAACTTATTTGTTGTCCATAAAATTTGAGTTTTACGGTGGACAATATGACACAATGAAACTAACCTCCTTGCAAAACCCTAGAACCTAAACCATGGAGAAACGTAGAATCAATGCTCCTAAACACGTTAGTAGGGAGGCTCCATGGGCACACTATAAATGGGGACAACTTCACCCGTGAGTCTAGAGGATTTTTTTATAGTGATAAAGTTTTATTTATTTTTTTGCTTCATAAAAAATGTGGAAGTTTTAGGCTTTTTAAATAAAGTGAATAGTAAGTTTAGATTTGTTTTTGATACATGCTTTTTAGACTAAACTAGACTTGCAGTTTTGTGAACCTTATAAGTTGAGATGTGATATATGTAAGCAATGCAAGTTTAAAAGTTGATGTCATATTATGATATGTATCTTATCATGATTTAAGAATTTTGGTGTATATGTTGCTAGTGACAATGATCTTGGAAAAGAACAAGAGATTGAGACCTTTTTATAGGTTTGTTATAAGATATGGGACAAAAGGAAGATTCGATAAATTATTTATAAGTTGTGTATAACATAATGATTGATTTTATTGATCATATGAAGTCAATAATGGATTCGGTCGATCTTATGACTTAAATCCCTACGGAAGATATTGTTATATTAAACATCGAGAGGAATGAGACTATTAAACCACTTGAAAACAAACAAGTGGTTGTAATTCAACTTTTGTGATTGGAAATCCCATAAATAAGGTTCATATGAGTAAAAACAAGTCCCTTGTCAGTTTTGCTAGCACCAAGTTGATTTTAATCAATTTTAATATTTTTTTTTGTCTCTTCCTATGATGTGAGAAAGTGTTAGAACTGCATTAATGTGAGAATAAGTTTTATTGTTAAGCTTTATGAGGTTATGGGAAAGCTTGACAACTTATAAAACTTTTGATTTTCATATCCCTTATGGGTGGTGTATGATTTGCGGCATACACCTAATGACATCACCTATATGAGTATTAGGTGGGGTTGCTTGTATGAGATTTTGATGAGATATCTAGAGCAGTCATGAATATCGGGCATGTGCATGGCCTATTAGCGCACAATAGCGATAATAACAAGAATTGTGGGATGCAATGTAATTGGTAGACTTCTAACATGCGTCAAGTGTCTTTAGTTCATATAGCTTGCTATAACAATTATATGGTGTGTTAAGTTTTATCGATCTAGGTTTGGTTCATATAGCTTGTTACACCAGGTCCAACACATTACATCCAAGAGAATGAGAACTCATGAAATTCTTTTATTTTCTTAAAACTTTTTCTTGAACCTTTTTGAAATATGTGGGGAATTGTTGTATTTTTTTTAGTGATATTTCAAAAAGATTAACATGTTTATTTATTTAGAAAAAATAAAATTAATTTTGGTTTATTAAATAAATATTTTAATTAAATTCAGTTTTGTTGACTTGGTCTTTTAGATTAAGTCTTATCTTATATTTTGGCTTGGTCTTCAAGAGATAATTACATTTTTTATCCTAAGACTTGGTAAAAAGGTGTTTTTGAGAAACAATTTCTCTTCATTATAAAAATAACATACAGCAGGCTTTGAGAGTATCTCCTCACACATCTTTTCTTGATTATATTATGAGTCTCATAGATTATTCTCACCATACCGTTCGTTGGAGCCGAACAGATTTCTTGTGTAAGTTGTTGCTATCTG